TAAAATACCAGCCATTCATACATTCAATTATATCTCACCTATTCTATTCACTGAAAACATGCCTTTTGGCTTTCACAAAAGCCTGCATAAAAAATGTGAGAGGCACACTCAACATATAAAAGCAATTTGAAATTAAACGCTAAGCATTGACAGGATTCAATGGGAGAAGAAACCGACAACCCCAAGCAGCAAAACAGCAAACTGCAACTACAAAAAATGATTTCCCCCTATATATAAAAAAAAACCCAGTAAATTTTATTTTGTTTTGTTTCACAAAAAGTTTCCAAGGATCCATTATATTAAGCCGCCGCCGCGCTCGGGGAACGGTTCCACGTTAAGGGATTGAAAAGGAATCACGGATTTCTGCAAAGTCCGCGACATTTGGGAGCAAGATGAGGCCACCAGGGAGGTCCCCCGTCCCCGGGGATTTCTGGAAGCCCCGGACGCGGAGAGACAGAGACGCGTCACTCAGACAGGCTGCAAATTCCTCGGCTGGGCACGAGGGGAAGATTTTGCAATGCTCCGTCCGGGCAGCGGAGACGCGCCTCCCCCGCCGCGAGGCACTTTCACTTTCACCTTCGTGCTTCTTTGAAGTGCAGGAAACAGTTAAAACGTGTTAAAGGCTGTCCGGGAACAGTAGCAGCCGTGGCTGAGATCAGCAGGCAATCTAGAAGATAAAGGATTTGGCAGACTTCGTCGCCCTCTGCTCTTATAAGCAGGGATGAGAACCCAGAAGCGCCTTAAAATTAAAGTTACAGGCGGGGGTCAGCGACCTTTTTCAGCTGTGGGCCCGTCCACCGTCCGTCAGACCATGTGGGGGACCAGCATATTTGGGGGGGGGGGGAGGAACGAATTCCTCTGCCCCACAAATAACCCAGAGATGCATTTTAAATAAAAGGACACATTCTACTCATGTAAAAACACGCTGATTTCCGAGAAGGCAATTGGGCCACATCTGGCCCACGGGCCTTAGGTTGCCTACCCTGGTCACAGGGATGTTCAGTGCTTCTTGGCTCTGAAAGGGGAAAGACCCCGATCCCCTTCACCTGTGCCAGCTAAGAAAGCAGTGGGTGCTCTGAGGTTGGGGGGGGGGCGGATAGGGAGGGAGGGTCTTATGGCATGTACCAACCCCCCCCCCCCCCCCGCCACAAAGTTCACGTGGTGATTTGGGCTCCGTCACTCTCTTTTCTTAAAAAAACATTTTTATTCAATTTTCTCTTATCATCACAAATAAATCATAATCATGTATACATAGGATTCTCTGAATCCCTGGACTTTCCTCTGCCCCCCCCCCCCGCCCGGTTTCCATCGTTATGCTGGGATTTTTTGCCTACGTGCTGTTTGATGCAGCTTCCCACAAAAGCAATTAAGAAGTTGGCCGAAGGCCAAGAAGGCTGAGCAGAGGGAGTTATTCTGCTTAGAGATATGGGGCCTCTGCTATTGGTCGAGGTCTCCACATAGGCATGATGGCTCGTGACCTTCCTTGTTCGTTAGGTTGTTGGTCAGTGGTCTTCTGAGAGTCGTTTGGAGTTTGTTAAGAGAGAGAGTTAAAATCAGTATCTGTATCTTGTATAGAATAACTTGTAAAAGGTAAAGGGACCCCTGACAATTAAGCCCAGTCGCGGACGACTCTGGGGTTGCAGCGCTCATCCTGCTTTACTGTCCGTAGACAGCTTCCGGGTCATGTGGACAGCAGGACTAAGCCGCTTCTGGCGAACCAGAGCAGCGCACAGAAACGCCGTTTACCTTCCCGCCGGAGCAGTACCTATTTATCTACTTGCACTTTGACGTGCTTTCGAACTGCTAGGTTGGCAGGAGCAGGGACCGAGCAACGGGAGCTCACCCCACCCTGTCATGGGGATTTGAACCGTTGACCTTCTGATCGGCAAGTCCTAGGCTCTGTGGTTTAACCCACAGCGCCACCCACGTCCCCTATTAGTAACTTGTAGAGTCTGCTGCAAATAATAAACACCTCTAAGTAATCAAGTGACTGGTAGCAGCGTCTTGTTCCTGCTTCATCCTTCCTGCCTGCAACTGATTACTTCTGGAAGTCTGCGTATGCTCTGCTATATTCCACTGGATCTGGCTAAGATCCTGCAACAGGTTAAAGTTGCGAAACATCAATACGTTATTCTTTTCCAACTGCATCTTATAACGTTCTCCATATTTTCTCAATACGCTCGAGGTACCACTGTACTCAGTTCTCACCACAGTTCTGGCTACATTGCAAGTGTTTGTTTGTTTTATAGAATCCTGCCAATGTTTTTAATTGTTGACAATATTTTTTTAAGTAACTTATAAATTTTCCCCGTTCTTTATTAAATTTATTATCTTCTTGATCTCTGATCTTCCCAGTCATTTTCGCCATTTCAGCACAGACCATCTTTATCAGCCATTCCCGTCACTCTCTCTCAGCCTAATCTACCTTGCAGGGTTGCATATTCTCCAATATTCCTACGATGAAATTAGGGATCTCCTCCTCCTCTTCTTCCTGTCCATCCAGCCACAACATATATAAAAACATAATAAGACAATGGGCATTAAAAGAATACTGGGCTGCCTTCAGATGTCTTCTAATGTTGTATAGTTCCTTATCTCCTTGGTTCCGGGGTCACATAACTCCAGACCCTCCAACGTTTCTCCAAAGAAAATAGGGACGTCCTAAGGAAAAGCAGGACATTCCAGGAATCAGAAACTGGGATGGGTTCTGTAAATCCAGGACCGTCCCTGGAAAATAGGGTTGTCTGGGTCTGGTGTTGTTTATATTTTGATTATGTATTTTGTGGTTTTATATTTTGATTTTATTCTGTGAGACCTCCAGGTTTAGGGCGGTATATAAATAAAAAATAAAATAATAATAACCATGCATGGTGTCTTGAGCTCTGTGGAGGAAAGGTGGATTATTAATAGTAGAAAAAGAATAATAAAATAAAGTCCTGCTACCCATTTCAGCTCTTCTGTTTCCCTGCCCCTCTCATTCTCATTCAGAACAACCTGCCCAAATCTTTCTACAATTTATACTTTTTGTTAAATATTTTCATTCTTTTACTTGATTTTTTTGGGGGGGGCAGCTGCCTCACCCCAACCCCTGGCTACATTCATGGAGGGGAATGCATTTGGAAGATGAAAAGGAATGAGTGGGTATGTTTCACCTGAAAAAGAGAAGACTCAGAGGTGATGGGACAGTCATGTTTGACTAGCTGGAGCGCTGCCACTTAGACGAGAGGAGGGAATAGAAGCTTGGCGGTTTTTTTGGTTTTTTGTTTATAATTTTTATTAAATCTTCTGTTTTACAATTTAGAATATTCATTTAAACAGCCTTAAAATACTGATGACTTCCCTTCTTCTCTTCCCATGGTTCATTTTGCATAACATAAATCCCCACATATCTTATATAAATTAAACCATTCAGTACAGTATTCCATTATTACATCCATCAAAACTTATTTACATTGTTGAATTTATCTTAATGCTGCCAACGTTTTCAGGTGTACACAATTCCCCCCCCCAATACCTCCCAGTCTTCTTTAAATATACAGTCATACCTTGAGCTGCGTTTGCTTCATGTTGTGTTTTTTCTGGCTACGAATGCGGCAAACCTGGAAGTTCGCCACTTCACAAATGCGCAGGAGCAATCTGTGCACTTCGCACATGTGCAGGAGCGCTATATTGTGCCACGTGCATGTGCAGCGCTCTACTTACGGACTTTTCGGGGTACAAACGGCACCGTGGAATGGATCGCGTCTGTAAGTAGAGGTGCCACTATATGTTCTTCTTGTTCTCTATATTCTATATGTTAAGTCTGCAAGCTGCGCATAGTCAATCAGCTTAAGTTGCCATTCTTCTTTGGTTGGGACCTCACTCGTTTTCCATTTTGGGGCTAACAAAACATGGGCCGCAGTAGTGACATACAGAAATAACCTTTTTTGACACGTGGGAATTTCCGTCTGAATTATCCCCAACAAAAAGGACACTGGCTTTTTTTGGAAAAGTGCTTTTAAACATTTTTTTAAGATTCATTGTAAATTATTTCCCAATACTCTTTTACCCTTGTACAGGTCCACTACATATGAAAGAACGTCCCCTCGACCTCATTGCATCTCCAGCACTTATCTGATTCAGTCTTATACATCTTAGCAAGCCTACTTGGAGTCAGATAACACCTGTAAATCATTTTAGATAATTCTCCCTCAGGGAATAACATGCTGTAAACTTCAGATTGCTCTTTCCGGAAAAAGTTTGTTTCTTGCTGCACCCAAGCCAATGGTTTCAAATTACAAGAAAGGTGATTCTTACTAGACATGAGGGAGAACTTCCTGGTGATAAGAGCTGGTCTCACCTTCATTGGAGGTTATTAAACTGAGGCTGGATTGCTTAGCTGAGATTCCTGCATGACATTGCAGGAGTTGGGTACCTTTCAACTCTTCAGTTCTGTGATTCCATGACAGGGGAGGTGGGATCAGGGGCAGAGAAAGGGGCGGTGGGGGTGGTTCGCCCCGGGTGTCATCACTGAGGGGGTGACATTCGGCTCGCCGCCCGCCTGCCCACGACTCCCAAGTCTACCCCAAGCCATTGGGGGGAGGAGCAGAGCTGTGCTGCCTTACCGGCAGCCTTTCCCTGTTCCCCCATAATTTTGACAGCTCAGGGGAGGTTTGGGAGTTGCGGGTGGGTGGCATACCATTGCCCCCCACTCCTGGGCTGCTTCCTTGGGAAGGAAAGCCTCCTCCAAGCTGTCAGAAGGAAGAGGGAAGGGAGGAAGGCTGCTGGCCAAGTGGGGCATCTCCCTCCCCACTGCCGCCCAGGAAGCAGCCTGCCATGGGTGGCTCGCTCCACCCCCCATGGGTGGCTTGCTCAGCCCCCACGGGCATCTCGCCCCCTGGGACGCTTGCCCTGCCCCCATGGCACCGCCTCTGGGCGGGATGCATGATTCTGCAGACAGCCACCCATAATAACCAGGGCAATGAGGACTCTGGAGGAACTGGGTGGGGTGTGCAGTGGGAAGGGTATTTAAGTAGGCAAGGAGAAGCAAAGAGCAGGAGCCAGGAACCACAAAGAGCAGAGGAGAGTGCGATTTCTCCTCTCAGATTTCACCAGGACCCTAGAAATCTGGAAAAGAGAGAAAAGGTGAGATTGGAGCTGCTGCAGGGTGATTGCGTGGGAACGGGATGTTGGCATCTGTCTGTCTCAAGAGACAATGGGGAACTGGGGAAGATGGTTGTGCTGCTTTTTTTATATATTGCTCTTTGTTAGAAAATCTGGTAACAATTTGCCAGGTTTGTTTCCTTTTCCAAAGAAACACTGTCTTACAAACCTCAGGGTTTTTTTTCTGTTTGAGCACAGTTTATGAGATCATATTGTTTTCTTAATACCTCTAATTTTCTATAATGTTTTTGTAGAGCAACCCCCACAGCTGCTCAGTTTGGACCATAAGTTGCCTTCTCCCTTTGCTTATTTTAATGATGCCTTTTGAATTATTTGACCTCTCATTATTGCTTTTGAAGCCTCCCATACAGTAGTTTCTACCAGCTTTACAGAAAGATTAACATGGAAATGTTAGTTAAATATAAATTAAAAGGAAAAACAAAATGCAACCACAAAAACTGCAATTTTTACTGCAAGACCAGCACAGATAGGGCTCTCTCTCTCTCTCTCTCTCTCTCTCTCTCTCTCTCTGTTAGTTGCACTGAAGTCCCTCCAAAAACTTTGAAAATAAGGCCAAGAGTCCCAAATCCCAGCAGCAAGTGAAAATCCGTGTGGACATGTGACTCAGTTAAGAAACAAGCAGAGACAGACAGGAGGATAAGAGACTGCAGCCAACATGGTCTATTCAGGGGCAGAGGAAGGGGGTGCGGTGGGGGTGGATCGCCCCGGGTGTCTTCGCTGTCAGGGGGAGCTGCGCTGCTTTGCCGGTGGCATTCCCTCCTTTCCCCTTCGTTTTGCCAGCTGGGGGAGGCTTAGGAGTCGCAGGTGGGCAGCGCAGTAAATGTCCACCATCGGTGGCTCATTCCACCCCTGTGAGCAGCTTGCTTCGCCCCCGGCTGCACGGCGCATTCACTGCTCCGTGCACCTGAGCAGCTATCCTGCACCTGGGAGGGCACCAGTGTGGTGTAGTGGTTAAGAGTGGTAGACTTATAATCTGGTGAACCGGGTTCGTGTCTCCGCTCCTCCACATGCTGCTGCTGGGTGACCTTGGGCCAGTCACGCTTCTCTGAAGTCTCTCAGCCCCACTCACCTCACAGAGTGTTTGTTGTGGGGGAGGAAGGGAAAGGAGAATGCTAGCCGCTTTGAGACTCCTTCGGGTAGTGATAAAGCGGGATATCAAATCCAAACTCAGCACAAGATATTATGGGCTGTCCCGTAAATCCACTGGATGAAATAGCAGAAGAACGTTGCCTCAGGAGAGTGAGGAAAATCCTCAGGGATGATTCACACCCTGGCCGGCACTTTGATGATGACCTGCCCTCGGGCAGAAGATATAGAAGCATGATTAGTCGCACCAACAGGGTAAAGAACAGCTTCTGTCTGTGGGCTGTTAGGCTGCTGAATGAAGAGAACAACAGGGCAACTGACTTTCGGGTTTGGTGGGTGTGGGTCAGTAAACAAGGGGAATTAAGACCAAGAGAGCTGAGTGGGGAGTGCTTGTGTAATCTCACTGTATACAAGTTGTACAAGTGACAATAAAGTATTTCAATTTCAATTTCTTCTCCACCGCTGGGTCTATTCTGCTGCTGCCAACTTGCTGCATGAGCATGGGGTTGCTTCTCTCTGCCTCTCACTCCCGGCATGTCTCCCTCTGTCTGAAAGTAAACTCTGAAACACACACACCTCCCAAGACACACAAAAGAATGTTTTCCAGTTTCCGACATTCAATATTTCTACATGAGTTGAATAGCTGGGGAGAGGGACTCTGTAAACAGAGGAAGAGAGCAGTAAGCAAAGGGCAAATTGTCCATATCTTTAGACGACTGAGATTAGGAAGGCCAACCCACATCATTGCCCTTGGAGAAGACAAGGAAATGATTTTTAAGAGGTGACCTGAGCACCTGGCAAAGTGTATTTGGAAACAGGGTGTAGGTGTCTTTTGATGCAAGAATAAATGTTTGGTTATTTGCTTTTTGCAAAGCAAGGGTGCAGCGGCAGTACACACCTACACACTCTGGCCAAAGAACAACAGCCCAGGATCCAAAAACCTCTTTGCTAATAGTTAACATTTTAAATTCCGGGTGTCAACCATAGCATCTCAGCTGGCTGCAAGCCAGAGGGCGTGGTTGAGAGCCCGGCTCTCACTGCGAATGAGCCCTGTGGTCATGTTGGGCCTAACCCTTGTCACCTCACAAGTAGACTAGTGGATGCTTGGTGAGACCAGAAGCCTTCTTGGGAAGGGTGGCTCCCATATGGATAGGGTTCAGAATGCAACATGGTGGCTAAGACATAACATAGCAGTGGGGGCTAGATTTCACCTCTGCCCTTGGTTACCCCCAAGTGATGGGAATCAAGTCTGTTTCATTCTGAACAATTTGGTTCCTTCAGCACCACAGCAGAGATTTTGGGGCGGGGGATGTGTGAGTTATGTTACTTTGGGGTGAGTGGGATGATGGCATTTGGGTCTCCCATATGCTCCAAATCATAGTCATAGAATTGCAGAGTTGGAAGGGGCCCGATCCTCTGCATTACTGGAATCACACCTGAATGTTCCGACTTGGGACAGTCCTGATTTTGTTTGTTTGTTTCTTTGATAACTGAGAAATTCTTACCCGAGATATGCACCCAGGTTCCAACTGGTAACTCAGAGCAGGGCTTTTAGTGTGGCTGCCTCTGATCTGTGGAACAGCATTTCTGTCAAGATAGGACAGGCACCCAGAAAAAAATAGAAGACATTTTTCTGTTCCAACAAGTTTTTGCCTTGACAGTCTGCTTGGCACTGGGTTTTTTTATTTTGTAAGTTGCTACTATTAGTTTTAGAATATTTTTGAACTGTTTTTATTACATTTTGTACTTTTTCCTGAGACATGTGTCGAAAGCAATAAAATCATAATGATAGGAAGAAGAGTACATTTATTTTTCTAATGCATGTGTTTATCTTTTAATTGTGACAGCAAGTTTGTTAAAAAGAAGATGGCGTCTTCCAGAACACAGGAAAGAAGTAAAATCAAACCACCTCAGAAATATCTCAAAGAAAGTAGCCTTGTAAAAAAGGGTGAACCTTCTGTTTATGCATTAGAACTGAAAAAGGCGTCTGAAACGTCTCCAAAGTACCATCTAGGCAAAGAGAACTTGCAGATCGCCAACAAAGTGATCATGATGATGGGAGCGTCTGGATCAGGAAAAACCACTCTCATCAATGGGATGATCAACTACATCCTGGGCGTGCAATGGGGAGACGAATTCCGGTTCAAACTTATTCATGAAATGACAGGCAGAAACCAAGCAGAAAGCCAGACATACGAAGTGATGGCTTATGTGGTGAACTATCAAGAGGGTCTCAAGATCCCTTGCTCCCTCACTTTTGTTGACACTCCAGGATTCGGAGACACGAGAGGAATAGAACAGGACAAAAAGTTAGTTGAGAAGATCCGGGAGTTTTTCTCCATCCCAGGAGGCATTGACCACATCGATTGTGTCTGCTTTGTGGTCAAGGCTTCCACAAACCGCTTAACAGCAGCCGAGAAATACATCTTTGATTCCGTGCTCTCGATCTTTGGGAAAGATATCAAGGAGAACATCCAGTTCCTGATCACCTTTGCAGATTCACAGACTCCCTTGGTCCTTGAGGCCATTAAGACGGCCAACGTTCCATGCGCCAAAGATGGCAAGGGGAACCCCGTGCATTTCAAATTCAACAATTCCGCCCTGTTTGCCAACAATGTCGTGGGGGACGGGGAGAGCCCTAACTTTGACGAAATGTTTTGGAAAATGGGTACGATCAGCATGAAGACCTACTTTGACTCACTAAGCAAACTGAACACGAGGAGTTTGTCTTTGACGAAGGAAGTTCTCAGGGAGCGGAAAGAGTTGGAGACGGTTGTGCAGGGCCTGCTGCCCCAGATCAAAACCGGGCTGGTCAAACTGGAAGAACTGAAGCAAACAGAACAAGCCCTTGACCAGCACAAAGCTGACATGGCGGCCAACAGAGATTTTGAGTATGAGTTCCCAGTCACCGTCAAACTGAAGCAAGATCTCTCTGGAGCTCATCAATATGCAACCAACTGCAAGAACTGTGAGGTCACCTGCCACTATCCTTGCTGGCATACATGGGACCTGCTGAACCGCTTTTGCTCCGCTATCAGTTTCTTCTCAGGAAAATGCAACGTTTGTCCCGGCAAGTGCTCAGCCAGTGACCACTGCAACCAGGATTACCAATTTAAGGACGAAATAAGGAAAGAGAAGAAGACATATGCAGAGCTGAAGAAAAAGTACGAGTATGCCTGCCATGGGGTTATGACAGCGGAGGAGCTGATTTGGCACCTCAGCCAGGAGTACATCGAGGTAAGAGAAAATTTGTTCGGAAACATCGAGAGAGCGTCTCAAAGCCTGAGGCGCCTGCAGGAAATTGCCCTGAAGCCCAATCCGCTCTCCACTCCAGAATACATCGACATGCTCATTGCGTCCGAAGAGGAGGAACGCAAGCTTGGATATCAGAAAAGGATTCAGTTGCTGAAGGACGTGAAGAAAGAAGCAGAGATCATACAGAAGATTGCAAATAAGGAGGCTCTGCTGCCAGAGGAGGAGGAGATGATGAGCGAACGGGGGGACAAAAGCAAATTCCGCTTGCTAGCCAGATATTGGAAGAGAAGGGCGATGAATATTCTCCCTAAATGAAGGGGCAACACAACAGCTCCTGTTCAGCCTTAGATCTCTGTATAAGCGCCCCCCCCCCCAATATCCTTTTCGCTAAGTGCAGGGACTCTGAGGCTGGATCTACACTGACCTGTTCAAAATTATTAGAACGATATCAGATATATTGTTCTAAAACGTCACAGGGCAGACTTGGAAAAATAAAGTGTTTCTTACCTCCATCAAAGCGCTGTCTCCCTACTGCTACTCTTCCTCTCTGTAGGCGGAGAAGAGATGCAGAATCTCCTCCTTCCCCCTCCAGATTGCACATTTAATTAGGGGTTAAACCACCCCCTACTTAAACATTAGCTCTGTCCCTGAACTGATCTGGGTGCTTGACCCCTGGCCTGACTGATCCAGGGGGAGATCAGGGTGACTCTGCACAGCCCTAATGGTTAAACAGCTCATGCTTTCTTAATATTTAGGATAATTTACTATATATCTGGAAAAGCTTTTAACTAGTTGGAATCAGTGGAAGTTGTTTTTTGGGGGGGGAGGGAGGGACAAGTAAAAGTAGAATTGCATAATAATTAAACAATATTAGTTTTGCATGTCGTGATTATGCTCTGCCCCCACAGCTGGAGGCAGCAGCTCTTCTGAATAGCATGTGCTGGAAGCTGCAGGAGGGGAGAGCACTGGTCTTGCGTTCGAGTCCTGCCAGGGGGCTAAGCCTTCAGGAGAACAGGATGCTGAACTGGATAGGCCGTTCTCTCCCCCCCCTCTCTCCCCCCTCCCTCTCTCTCTCTCTCTTTCTCTCTCTCTGCAATGTTAATATTTTATTGAAATAATTTCAGGTATAAAAAAATAAAGTGATACAGAGGAAAAAGGGGGAAGGGGGATAACAAAGATGTGTAAGAAAAAAGAACAATATAGAAAAATGCAATGCAATATACTCTTAAACATTCTTATATAAATTGATACAGGGTCGTTACTATAATACACATGTAGATGTTAATAGCCATAAACTTATTCCAGATGTTGTCATGTTTATCCAAACAATGTTTAGCAGTGAAAAATGGATTGCAGAGATGGAATATAACATCAGATGGACTTGTGTGTGTAAAGTAAAAATAAAAAAGGGGAAAAGGGAGAGAAGCTCTAGTCTACAAAAGGTTTATGATGGAAACTTAAGAGCGGACTCTTCCCTAGTCTTTATCATCCTTGGACTAAACTGAATTTAATTGAGTTGGAAGTGAAGCTGTGAGCTTGCCAAAGAAGGTTCATTACTGAGTTATTTTAAGTTCGACAGCTTGCTCTACTCCCCGGGCTGAGAGAAAAATGGCGAAAACAGGATATTTTTTAGGGACACTATGATTTTTGCAGCTGCTGCTAATGTTGCAAAACACTGAAGCTCCGGACAGAGCAATGGAGAACTTCTGAAACAGCAGCGGGACACTAGCTCTGCCCAAGGAATGATGGAGAACAGCAACTGACAAAAGATAGACAATATATTACAAGGACAGGAAGAAACATCATGGACAGAATAACAAAAAGAACAAAGAGAGAGTTTAAATGCTTCACCTGTAGGACTATAAATCATTGAATGTGTTAATGCGAATGGAAGTCGTTAAAATTGCATTTGGGGTATAAGGGTTTGTTTTTCTGACTGGAGTGTGGTGGAAATCTATAAGATTTTGGAACGCAGAAATAAAGTAAATCAAACCATCAATTCCAGCACGTGGGGGGGGGCACCTAAATTGTACAATTTGGCTTTTGAATGATTCATATTATTAATGGTATTATAATGTGGCGTTGTTATAATGAGGCTTTTATTGGAATATTGTAATTGAAAACTAATACAAATGATTTGCCAAACCATGTCTTCGTCTGTAAGCAGCCCGTTCCTAGGTGGCGAGTGTTGTCATAATGTCAAGGCATTTATTACAGGGTCCCGGGTCTGGATTCTTCCCATTCTTCCCTCTCTCTCTCCGGCCAGGCGTCTCTTTTGCTCTGTGCGCCCCCTGGAGGCGGGGGGGGGGCTCTGCTCCCAGAGCATCTTCCTGGCCTCCCCCCCCCCGAAGAATAATTCTGGGGGTGCAGCAGCAACAGCCCCCCTCCCCCTGCTGAGTCTCTCTGGCAGACCTGGGGGGGGGGGGGCTGAGGAGGACCAGACCGGCTTGCAACTCGCAGCCCAAGCAGCACCGCCAGCCTCTTCTGGGGTTTTAGAAAAACATGAACTTGGGCGGGAGCCTCTGACAACGGAGATATGGCCGCTGACTCGCGCGAGGGCGGGGGTGGCGGGTGTACACGGGACTGGCTTGAATTCCCACGTGCGCGTGGCTGCGCGCATGCAGGGGTTGAAGTGCAGCGAAATCTCCGCTTCCTGTCCTCTTTAGGAATCCAGCTCAGCTCCTTTTTTTTTAATTATTAGTTTTCACATATTACAGTACTGTACTTTACAATACAGATGTACCAAAGTCAAGACCATTGCCTTCCCACCCCCCATACATTTACATTTCCTCAATCCATCATATTATTCATTTCTCCTTCCTCCCACTTGCCTCCGCCCCCACTCGATTTCCTCCACATTATACAATTTGCATTCTACAACCTTCTCAAATCATCTATATATTCCTATTATCTTTCCTTACTAATTTTTCTTCCATCCAATACTTCGCATTTTAATCTAGGCATATTAGCATATCTTTTTTTGAGCAACATTTTGCCATATATTCATCAAAACATTTCCACTCTTTTTAAAATTTTTGATTCGACTGATTTCTTATTATAGCAGTTAATTTTGCCAAAATTAAATATTCATTTAGTTTACAGATCGATTCCTCCTTTGTGGGTATAGTTTGTGACTTCCACCTAGCAGCAATCACTCTTCTAGCCAGCTCAGCTCCTTTTAACCCTTGCAAAGCCGAGGGCACCGAGCCCGCCTCTCCCTCTCCATGCGCGCAGATTTCCTGCTTCTGCCCCTGCGCTCAAGGGGCTGCCCCCCTTCCCTCCCTCTGCCCCAAGGAGCCCACATCTAAGCAGACTAACAGCAAGGGAGACGGGGGTGGCCATGGGGGCGGGCGGGTTATCTTGGCTCTGCCCCTCCCCCAAAATAGAGGCTCCAGGATCCCAAGGAAAGGCTGGGATGGAGAAGAGGCGAAAGTCTGCGCGGTGGCAGGAGGTGTCTTGGGCTCAGAAATGGCTCCATCAAGACACCCCCTGGGGGAAAACCCTCCAGCTCAGCGAGGATGGAGGAGGGGTTTCCCAGACAGGAGATCCCCCCTGATGGGAAATTCTGCCTTTGCACATGAGTCTGGGAATGTTCAGTTCACATTGAGTTCATGAAACACTGTACCCTGACCTGTTCTTAACGCATTGTTGACCACATCTACGGAATGCGATTGTTATGCCTTTTCAAGTCATGCAATATCAATCATTAGTAATTGTGTATTATCAATCACTAGTAATAGTTTAACAAGGAGGATTTCATACCTGTCTAACCATGTGTTCCCTTTCCCAACCTTTAATCTATTGATGATTAATGCCTATATTCAACTATAATCAACCTTTGCATTGTATTTGTGTTAACCAATCAGCAACAAGCACATATCTGGTAATGCTGTAATATTCAATAAAAGGGACTCGCCGAGACCTGCTCGGCAGATGCCTCCCATATGACACTTGCCATTCGTCTGTCGTTTATTTCAACCCAACACCCCCCCCCCCGAAAATGATCTCTTCCCCCCCGCCAAGCGGATTTTCCTGCTTCTGCAGCCGCTTTCTATCCCAGGAAAAATAGAGGGAAAAGTGTCCCATGCAAGGAATGAAACGCACACGCGATCCTTTGGGTTTGGGAGACTCAAGGGGGGGCAGATGTGGAAGCCCCCCCCCTTAGGAGAAAAGAAATGACCATGCCTGCCTGCATCGGAGAGTAGGACTTACTTCTGAGTAAGCATGCATCGGTTGGGGCTGCATAGCAATGCTTCCAAAAGTGATGGGATCAGTGTGCGGATCTTACAAAATTAATGCCGTGCTCTTATAAATGCACAGGGATAAGTGCATTCACACATACAAGGGTTCACAAACCCCTGCGTGTAACTGCAGGTGATGCAATAGGGACCCTTTTGCTGGGAGTTTCCTGAAGGGATCTGCTTCACTTGGAAAGCCAAGAAAGAAAAGGGTGTGTAGATTCTGAACGTGGCTGCCAGCGTTTCCCTTTTTTAAGGGAAATTCCCTTATTCCGAATAGGATTCCTCGCACGAAGAGGGAAAAGTTGACAGTTATGATTCTGAAAGCGGAGGAATTCTGGAGGAAGAATTAGAAGGAGCTGGGAGATCCTGCACAGGTGGAATCTCATGAAGAAGAGCAAGTCAGAATTATTGGGGCTGGACTTGTGTTGTTTTCTTTGCGAAAAGAAAGACTCGGGTTTCTAACATATGGCTTATGAATTTCTAACCTGGAATGTGATGGACTAAATTTGATATCCGAAAGGCATAAGATAACACATGTATTAAGAAAGCAGAAATGAGATTTAATTTGCAGAAGAACCACGTAAAAAGGACCCGTGGAAAATGGTTAATCAGTAAAGCTTGAGGCCAATAATTTATACCTTCAGATAAATCGAAAAAGAGAGGTTCTTTATGCCTGCCCCAAAGCGGATATTTAAGGACTGTGAGGGAAGAATTCTTGGTTCCGAAGTGACATTGCCAGGAAGGAATAAAAGTCCTGGTGTTAGGATCATACGCAGCAAATGAAAAGAAATCGGACTTTTAAATGCTGGGAGGGATGCAGGCAGTGGCGAAGGGATTGTTTATACAGCCTTTCTAGAGAGAGAGAAGCTTGAAAAGCGAGAGAAATGAAGAGAAATGAGGGCGAATTAGAAGAAATCCCCCGATAAACGAGGGAGCCCAGGGATACTGCAGCCTGGCCTGCCAGGAACCGGCCTCCTTGGCGCCTAAAACTGAGGCGAGGCTCAGATTTTGAAAGGCGGGCAGTTGGGAAAAGGCGGGAAAAGTCGTTTCCCTCAGAGCCGCTGAGGGGAGGAAGCAGCGGGGGGAGGGGCTCCTTCTCGCTTGCCCCTCAGACACACGCAGAGACACAACGGGGACCCTCTTGTGAGGGGAGCAGAAAGGAGGGCTCTCAGACAAAGGGGCGGCAGGGGGGTCTCTCGTCTCTTTCCCCCCCTCACAACCCCATTGCGTTCCTCTCATGGTGGAAGGCGTTGGAGAAAAGAAGCGACCATGCCTGCCTTCAAAGACTGAGGTTCTGTTTCAACCTCTGCTTGCAAAAGGTTTCAACCGACACCCAAAAGAAGGGGGTCCCTTCGGGGAATGGTTGATCTTGACAACCTGAGTTGCTGGAGACACTACAGATGAGACAAAGCAGATGTTGGACACGACAAGTGGGAATACTCCCTCAGAGGCTCCTTTCCTTGCTGGTGTTACAACTAAAGGAAGAACGTGTCAGAAGTCGGTGGTTTGCCTTGAAAGAGGGACAGATTTACAGTTGAGAGGTGACTCAAGATAACAAGGGGAAATAGCAGGTGGTAGCTGAAGAATGAGTGCACATGCTCAAATGCTTCATGAATATTATAGAACACACCTCTGTGGGAGAAATGGCTAATTTGAATGACCAGGTAATGTATGTAACAGGTGGGAGAACATATTAAGGAGCAAAAATGAAGGCGGCCTTGCAGGAAGCACCTTTGGGTGTCAGCGCTCACGGGGTATCCTCAGCCGCCTTCCTGCCAAGATGGCATTGCCTCCACTGGGCAGCCTCTTTCCTCGCCATGTTTGCCCAACAGAGGAGGCCTCTCCATTGGAAGAGGCCAGGCAAGCGGCTTCAGAAGAGGAAGCCATTTTGGAGAAGAAACAAGCTTGGCTGTTGTCTGCTGAGGGTCTCCTGCCTTTCTTCCAAGGCTTCCTGGGGGCTGCAATGCCCAGAGGAAGACAGCCCCCCCAGCCTGAATCCCCTGCAGGGCCCTGGGCAGCAACCAGAGCCTGCATCAGTTTCCTTTCCCAAGGCCTTGGAGGAACCTTGGGGTGCGGAAGGAGGAACCCCAAATGGAGATCAGGCTCCTGACAAATGGGGAAAGGAACTTTATATGGCCTCTGTTAAAGAAAACTCTGGGTTGAGAGACTACTCAGCAGCCCAGCTCGTTGGGGTACAAGTCCCCAACTGGTCCATGTGGTCAGTAAAAGAAGGAAATTCCAGCCAAGTAATTTGGAGCAAAACAGCAGTCAGTAGACTTAGAGCCTTTATTGTTGCGCAACAGGTTCAAATAGCAGTATGAACTCTGAGCATGGGGCGACATTAACTTTTAAAACTTTTGCACCATATACCAGAATATCCACCCTCCCTTCCCCACAGGTGGGCGGGTGCCACCTACCTGCTTGATCCGGCCTTTGACCTGCCCTTGGCCAGGGAGGACAATGGCCGGCCGGGGGTGGTCCTAAGGCCAAAAGGAAAGAGGATGACTCCGTTGCTCAAGCCTCTTTTGCTGTTCTTCCTTCCAGGATCAGGATCACGATCAGGAGCGTGTCCAGGTGGCTGGATTGAGGTAAGTAGCCGGCCTTCTTTGCTTTGCCTGGATGGGGGGCGGGGGATAGATTTGGCCCCTCCGCCAGGCTAGGCCACATTTTTGGCGTGCTCGGTTGGGCACATTGCGGCCTTTTCGGCTTTTTGTCCGCAGTGTGGGAGGGAGCTTGACTGCTCTGCCACTGGCTGCTGGCCTGAGCCCCAGCAGGGCTTCTAGTGCGGCCTGCTCGCCTTTTGCGGTGGCGGGGGAGGCATCGCTTAACGCCGGCCCGGGGCCCCTGCTGACCCGGGAGGACATCGCGGGCCCGGCTAGACCGCAAACACGGCCTGATTGCCTTTTGCGGCGGGAGGGGGGATCATCACTACATTGCACAGAATCATCAATACATCATTGCTACATCACTAAAATGTCAGAAAGGGGAGGGTTACACCAGATTAGCATAGGCAAATGTGTCAGGACAACACCCAAGTATAAGATTAGCATAGGCAAACATGTCTTAAGTACCCACCACCCAAAAGTACAACAGAACTTCCTTTGCATGTCTGGAGCCTGAGGCATGTCCGGTGATGAGATCTGGCTTCCCTTGGAGAACAATGAGCCCAGCAATTGTCACCTCTGGGCATTTCCTGGGTTAGGAGGTGTGTATACATGTCTTCACACTTGGAGAGGTGGCAGGGGAAAGAGTCCTTTTTCCAAGGGCAATGGAATGGAGGAAACTGGCAAAGGAGGTAATTTTATATTTTTAAAGCTAAGTATCTTCCCTGAGCTGTCAAGTTGAAAGGATAAATTCAGGCAGAATATTTGTAACATTTAACAATTTTAATGATGTGCCCCCCCCCGGTCATTTCCATCACACATCTTTCCAGAATAGTCTAGGAATTGCCTCCAAGGTCCAGGGACTGATCTGCCCTGGCTTCCTTCTCGGAGGTCCCTTCCGAAGGAGAAGGGGTCCCAGGTCTCCATGGAGGGGAAGCATCCCTGAGGCCTGCATTTGAGGCCGATGCTTTCGCCTTTCAGGCTCCGGCCACCTTCTCTGTGGTGTTTATATGTGAGCTGTAGAGATGGGATCACATGCAGACATCCCCAAATTTCATAAGGATCCTGTGAAAAAGATGGGTTCTGCTTTGGAATAATGCCCCCCCCCAAACCACCTGTAAAATGAACTTCACAGCATGAAAATAATATGTTTTAAAATTTGTCGCTGATTCATTTTTTGAATGTTTTAAAGAGTTGTTCCTACCAAAAATTTTAGTGTTTCAGTCTCATTATAAATCATTTTCATATTTATTTATTTTTTTAATTCAGTCATGTGTATGTAGGAGAAATTCAAAAAGAGAATCCTAGACTGGAGGTTACCCGCAGAAAACCAAAAGAAAAGGAGGAAGTGTCCAAGTGGAAAGATAAGCCTTTATTGAATACAATTGTGCCTGCAAAGAGCCACATCCCAAAAAGTGTTGCCACAGAAACTAGGGAGCTAAAGATGCTCTTCTGGCAGAGGGGTAAAATGTCATGGCAAAAGTCTTGAGGGTAGAAACTGGAAAATACATTCAAAGCACTGATACGGTTTCTGACCTGTATGAGTTCTTTGATGGGAAGTGAGACGAACTGTGACAAAAGCTCTTTCCACGCTCATGGCATTGAAAAGATTTCTCCCCTGTATGAATTCTTTGATGGCTAGTGAGCTTGGCCCCTCTCCCGGAAGCTTCATTTAGTCTCCATCTTCTATGTGTTAATTGTTCCCTTTGACATATAACTAATACTGAATAGTGGTCTTAAGGTTGTTTCTCAGTTGTATTTCCACTTTCCAACAAAAGAGCCAATTATTTTGTTGCCCACACCGCATCTCTTCTACTTGTTGAGTTTTAAGCATTATAATAAAATGTATATTCCCTGTCTAATGGATGTTTGTCTCCATAAGTCCACTAATTTGTTGTCATGTACAAAAAGGAATTAGCCATTTCCCCCTCCATTTGTGTCCAATTTCTATATTATCCTGCCTAACCTAATGAAATGGCCCCATTTAGATCTCCCATTAACATTATATTCCCTATAAAGTTTATATCCCCCCTTTATAAAGTTCAGATGTCCTCTCATTGGGAGCATATATTCCCAAAATTATCCATCGCTGCCCTCTGACGAAGAAATGACCAGTCCATAATTTTAACGGTAGGTTTATTGTAGCTGTGAAAGACAGAATAACAACAGGAAAACCCCCAGAAACCCAGAAGACAAAAGTCAGAGATTGATGTGCATTATAATGAGTGAAATAAGTACTTGATCCCCTATCAACCAGCCAGATGTCAAATCTACCTGGTATCTTCACTGTATGTAATAAACTGAGATTAGAAGCACTTGGTGTAAGGGAGAAGTCTTACCTGTTATCCCAGGTCGTTACAGTACCTGTGCAAAAGACACCTGTTGACAGAAGCAATCAATCTTACCAGGGCATTGAAAATGGGTCGAGGATAGGTATTCCAGCATGAAAATGACCCAAAACACATGGCCAAGGCAACAAAGGAATGGCTCAAGAAGAAGCACATTAAGGTCCTGGAGTGGCCTAGCCAGTCTCCAGACCTTAATCCCATCAAAAATCTGTGGAGGGAGCTGAAGGTTCGAGTAGCTACACATCAGCCTTGAAATCTTACTGAGTTGGAGAGGATCTGCAAAGAGGAGTGGGACAAAATACCTCCTGAGATGTGTGCAAACCTGGTGGCCACCTACAAGAAACGTCTGACCTCTGTAATTGCCAACAAGTGTTTTGCCACCATGTACTAAGTCATCTTTTGCAAAGGGATCAAATACTTATTTCACTCATTATAATGCACAGCACATCAATCTCTGACTTTTGTCTTCTGGGTTTCTGGGGGTTTTCTTGTTGTTATTCTGTCTCTCACAGCTACAAATAAACATACCATTAAAATTAAGGATGGCTTATTTCTTTGTCAGAGGGCAAACAGGCAAATTTAGCAGGGGATCAAATACTCACCCCCCCTCACTGTAACTCCTGACCACTTTTGTCCTTTATTATGGTAATTTTTGCCCGAAATGTTCCTATCATATCTCCAATTTTCTTGAACAGATCTTTGGTGTTTCCCATTCTATTGTTATATGATACAAATGTGATAAAGGGTATTTTTAGTTATTCTCACCTGTCCCTTTCTCTTTCCCATTCAACTGTGTTTGGTACGGATTGTTTAATAATTTTTGCTTTATTACTTTTCTTTTTTGGTCTTCCCTCTGCATGAATTCTTTGATGGGAAGTGAGTTGATCCTTCCGAATGAAACTCTTTCCACAGTCCAAGCACTGATAGGGTTTCTCCCCTGTATGAATTCTTTGGTGCAAAGTGAGAGTCTGCCTGTGACTGAAGCTCTTCCCACATTCCAGGCATGGATATGGTTTCTCCCCTGTATGAATTCTTTGATGGGAAGTGAGATCACCTCTCTGACGAAAGCTCTTTCCACATTCCAAGCACTGATATGGTTTCTGCCCTGTATGAATTCTTTGATGGGAAGTGAGATTGGAGCTCTGACTGAAGCTCTTTCCACATTCGAAGCACTGATAGGGTTTCTCCCCTGTATGAATTCTTTGATGGGAAGTGAGACTATTATTCCGATTGAACCTCATCCCACATTCCAAGCACTGATAGGGTTTCTTCCCAGTATGAATTCTTTGATGGGAAGTGAGACCGGAACTGTGATGAAAGCTCTTTTCACACTCATGGCATTGAAAAGGTCTCTCCCCTGTATGAATTCTTTGATGGGAAGAGAGATTTGACCTATCCCTGAAGCTCTTTCCACATTCCAGGCACTGATAGGGTTTCTCACCTGTATGAATTCTAAGATGGGAAGTGAGATTATGGCTGATACTGAAGCTCTTTCCACATTCGAAGCACTGATAGGGTTTTTCCCCTGTATGAATTATTTGATGAGAACTGAGATGGGAACTTTTTCTGAAGCTCTTCCCACATTCGAAGCACTGATAGGGTTTCTCCCCCATATGAATTCTTTGATGGGAAGTGAGATGATGCTTCCGATTGAAGCTCTTCCCACACTGCAAGCAATGATAGGGTTTCTCCCCTGTATGAATTCTTTGATGGGAAGTGAGATGGTAGCTGTAACTAAAGCTCTTTCCACATTCCATGCAGTTATAGGGTTTCTCTCCTGTATGAATTCTATGATGGGAAGCGAGACTGCCCTTCCGAGTGAAACTCTTTCCACATTCTCTGCACTGATACAATTTCTCCCTACTCTTTGTTCTTTCGTGTGAAGTGAAGCTATCCCTCCTAACGAAGCTCTTTCTTTGATGGGAGGTGGACTGGGAGCTCTGACGGATGTTCTCTCCACACTCTGAATATTTATATGACTTCTCTGCTATGTGGATTCTGTTCTGGTCCCCCTTGTTCTTCTCTTCCAATTCTTCACCATCTGCAATGAAAAGAGATGCTAATTAGAGCCTCGGAAAGAAATGGCGCTCCAGATTATTGAACAAAGTCCCCCACTGCGAGAATTGAGAGTGCTCCGTTTCAGCCTCAAGCAGACATCCTTGGAGTCTAACTTAATGTCATTGTTGATGTGTGGCATCTTCAACCCCTCAGCATTTCAGCACGCCTGCGGGGCACCTGACTCTCTTGAAACCGGTGGGGCCACACTGCCAGCATACTGTGACAGGTGACACAGAAGCATCAAATCCAACACCTGACCCCCTCCCCCCGCAATGCACTGCCACGTTAATGTAAGTCATGCAAACTCTGCATCGCTGTCCTGGACCCAAACCCCACTCAGAGCGAAGGTGACATGGTTCACATCCATTATTGAACAAAGTTCATAGAATCATAGAGTTGGAAGAGACCACAAGGGCCATCGAGTCCAACCCCCTGCCAAGCAGGAAACACCATCAGAGCACTCCTGACATATGGTTGTCAAGCCTCTGCTTAAAGACCTCCAAAGAAGGAGACTCCACCACACTCCTTGGCAGCAAATTCCACTGTCGAACAGCTCTTACTGTCAGGAAGTTCTTCCTAATGTTTAGGTGGAATCTTCTTTCTTGTAGTTTGGATCCATTGCTCCGTGTCCGCTTCTCTGGAGCAGCAGAAAACAACCTTTCTCCCTCCTCTATGTGACATCCTTTTATATATTTGAACATGGCTATCATATCACCCCTTAACCTCCTCTTCTCCAGGCTAAACATGCCCAGCTCTCTTAGCCGTTCCTCATAAGGCATCGTTTCCAGGCCTTTGACCATTTTGGTTGCCCTCCTCTGGACACGTTCCAGTTTGTCAGTGTCCTTCTTGAACTGTGGTGCCCAGAACTCGACACAGTACTCCAGGTGAGGTCTGACCAGAGCAGAATACAGTGGCACTATTACTTCCCTTGATCTAGATGCCATACTCCTATTGATGCAGCCCAGAATTGCATTGGCTTTTTTAGCTGCCGTGTCACACTGTTGGCTCATGTCAAGTTTGTGGTCAACCAAGACTCCTAGATCCTTTTCACATGTACTGCTCTCAAGCCAGGTGTCCCCCATCTTGTATTTGTGCCTCTCATTTTTTTTGCCCAAGTGCAATACTTTACATTTCTCCCTGTTAAAATTCATCTTGTTTGTTTTGGCCCAGTTCTCTAATCTGTCAAGGTTAATAAATGCTTGTGACAGAGGAAGAACTGGAGAGATTTAGGTGTGAGGCCTTACTATAGTTTTCACTGCCTTTGTTGACTGGTATTAACTGACATATTGCTTGGCCTTAATCTGGGATAGATTTTGTTTGGCGCAATCCTGGAATCCACTCCATCTCCAAGGTCAGTCAAATGCAGACAGAGCCAAAACAACAGACCTCACAGAAGTTATTTCAACTTCCCTAAAAGCTCTGAAGCCAATATTGAAGAAGGCCTGGGAGGTTCAGACAAGCCTGGTCCTTGTTTAAAAAGGCATGATTAGATGGAGAACATTCAGAGAGGAAAGAGTTGATATCCCTCCATTCAGGGTTCACAGTGGGGATGTTAGAATCCCAGACGCTGTTGGTCTCCCTCCAAACAGTGGAGGTTCAGGCAGGCAGGTTCAGGCAGGCAGGTGGAGGAGCCTGAAAAGGTGCTCTCCTTCTCCATCTCCATCAGCCTGCCTGCCTCCCCCCACCCCCAAGCTGAGCAAGCCCCAATACCTCTCCAGCTCCATCCATCCAAGTCACCAGATCTCTTGGAGGTCCCTGAGAGGGAACGCTCAGAGGTTGTGGGGAGGGATGCGGGAGACAACCTGACCAGGTCAACCGTCCATCTTCCCCCTTCCATCCTCGCTAGCTTTGCAGGATCCGTCTCTTTCATCCTTCCTAAGGAGTTGAGGAGCCTGGGAGAGAGGAAGAAGCAAAGGGAACCTCAGAGGCCCTGCAGGGATTCTCCTGCCCTAGATATTCTTCTGCCCCTGGAGAAGCACAAATGGGGCAGCCCCTTCCCAACAGAAGCCCTTTCCCTAAACATCTCCAGTGGCTCCAATTTCACCTGTTTGCTCCTCACCCCACTTCCTAAGGCTGGCATGGTCTGCACAGTAGTGACCAGAGAGTAGATCCCATTGAACTCAGTGGGGCTTATGGACAGAACTTGGTGGCAAAACCAGTGGCGCCCTGTCCCCAATCCTGAAAACTGCAACCCCAGAGCATGGGCAGAAAGTAGACAAGTAGCTATGACATGTGGGTGCCCCCATGCTAGGTGCTTTGAATGGAGAGCCCAGTTCACACACTTTGAGCTCTCTCACTGCAAGCCAGGCAGATGTTGTGGCCCTATTTGCCTCTGTCAGGGGTTGCCTGGGGACCAAATCTGTATGTGGAAGCAGAGGAGCTGGTGATTCCACATTTCTGAAATATGAGACGAATACACCACTCCTCCTTAGATATTGTCTGTGTTTATACACAACCTTCGCAAGTCTCCAGTCTCAAAATGTGGCCCCCACCCTGGCATGGAAGCCATCAAAGTATAGATCTTCCACATGTCCTAAATCTGTAGTGTTCTTAAGAACACCAGGCATGTATACCCTTTATAAACTCCAGAGGTGAGCTTTACACTCCTCTTGTGACAAGATTCCCAAAGGCTGAGGGTAGCTTGAAAGAACTAGCCTCTTTTGAGACTGCACCAATTTCCATTTCTTTTTTATCAAAACCCACAGGCGCTCTGCTAGATTTTTCCAGAAGGTTTTACAAGTACCTATCAGGATGGTTAGAATTTTATTACAGTCAGCCAAAAAGGATTTTATGCGTTCCATGTCCTCTGTTAATAGTACAAGCCACCCAGTGACTGATAATCCCTCCTCATAAGGTTGGGAGGAGTCTTTTATCCTTGTTTAGCATTTCCTGAGGATAGATCTGAAATCTGCTTTCACATTAGTTTGTCTACTTGTTTAGCCTGAATAGGGGAGAGACATGTTTTGTTGCATCTGGGACAGAGGAAGTGGTCCGGTTGTGCTGCTGCAGATGCAGAAGGGCTTTTCTTCTCCCTGTGCTCCTCCCATGTGCAAATGTTCCCGTCTGGCTACGGCCTCTGTTAACAAATCTGACTTATCCCTCAATCTGAAGGGGGTTTCTTTGCATGCCCCCATGCTGTGGCGTAGCATGGTCAGGTGTTAGCCGGTGCGGAAAATTTCTTGTAACTCCCCCCCCCCCATTGATTTTGTTTTGACTTTATTTCATATTTTCTTACAAAGGAATGTGGATTCTGGGCCTCTGATAACAAGTAGGCCACTGGGGACAGATACTTAAATCTACAGGATGGGTTGTGTTTTGGCTTCTGTTATTTTATTTATATTTATTGTTTATTTAATAAAGTTTATTTTTAAAAACCTGCAAAACTGTTTACCAAAACATAAAACAAAACAAAAAATCACAGCAGTAAAATCAAGAAAAATTAACAAGCCTACTTTAAAACATACAAAATCTAAACTATTAAAACAGATTAAGATTACTTCAGCTTCCCAAGCATCTGAGTAAGCTTGCCTAAACAAGTCTGCTTTTAGCAGGTACCTGAAAAGAGTCTAGCAAAGGCACTATTTATTGGGATTTCACCATGCTCTGTATTATCTGAAAAGGAAAACATTTATTTAAAAAGCAGGACTGCACAGCCTGGGAGTCTCATCATGGACTTATTCCTGAGCCGACGGTGCATAAGATGGGCTAGAATCCTATGCACCCCCTGCATCCAACTTGTACCTAAAAATCTTCACAAACCTGCGCCAGAGAGTTGTAGACTAGGAAGGGACCCCTGAGGGTCATCTAGCCAACCCCCTGGGGCAATGCCGCAATCTCAACTAGACCATCCCTGACTGATGGCCATCCAGCCTCTTCTCTGTGTGCCTTCTCCATGAGAGGTCTGGGTGGTGGCAACACAAAAACGAACCTTTTCTGCAGTGGTTCCCCATTTGGGGGAAGCTCTCCCAAGAGAGGCTCGCCTGGCCCCTTCCTGACATCTTGAGGTGCCAGGCAAAAACCTTTTTCTATAACTGGGCCTTTGGCTGGTTAGCATTCTATGGCCTTTTAAATATGTTTGTGGGAGGAGAGATCATTGGTTTGCCTTTGTCTTTGTTTCATTATGCGTTTGGTGTTCTAATTTTGCATTTTTATGTTGTGAATCGCCCTGTAAACTTTGGATGAAGGGCAGGATACACACCTAATAGTAGTAGTAGTAGTAGTAATAATAATAATAGCAGCAGCAGTGAACAGCTACAGTTAATCAGGGGTGCCAACTTGAATAAAATATTAGGAGGAGTAGGCATCGGGCATAGCCAGGATTTATGTTAAGGGGCAGAATCTCATTTAATTAAGGATTTAATTCTCCCCATCGGACGCCCATGGACCCAAGTAAGCCCCACCCTGCAAAACTGATCACAAGATGCAGCGTGCACACACCAGTTGAATGGCAATGCCCATTAACGGGGTGGGGGCCTCAAATATTTCATGGGGGAACCAAAGGGACCTTGCTGCCCTGGGGTATGCCAATCTATGAGGAAGAGAAGCAGGCTTTGTTGCTCTCTCTCCCACCATCCCCCCTCCCCACTTTTTGGGCTGGGTTTCTACATCATTCTGGCAGGCAGAAATCCAGCAGGTAAGGAGGATTTCCTGTCAATATTGTTGCTGGAATGTTTGCAGTGACTGTGAGCTTCCATTGGATCATTGTAATGGATTGCATTACATTGCATTTGAATTATGGTGCAGAGTCCCATGGACTGCAAGATGATCAAACCTTTCCATTCTGAAGGAAATCAGCCCTGAGTGCTCACTGGAAGGACAGATCCTGAAGCTGAGGCGCCAAGACTTTGGCCCCCTCCTGAGAAGAGAAGCCTCCCTGGAAAAGATGACCTCCAGGCTAGGACGGCGCGAGCCGGGGAGCGCCTCCCTCCACCCCGGGTGCCCCACCTTCCTTCCCCGGCCTGTTTTGGCCCTTCTCCCCCTTTTCTGCCCCTTGTCCAGCCTCCTCCTCTCCGCCCCTCTCACCCCAACTCCCGGGGCGACGCCTGCCATTTCTCCCCGTCGCTGCTGCGTCTCCTTTGCCTTCTGCCATGACTCTCCGCTCTCTGACTTGGGGGTCTCCCCCCACCGCGCATGAACTGAGCAGGGACCCCCATGCCCCTCCCTGCCCCCTGGGACCCCCTTCTCCCCACGGCACCCTCAGGGGAAAGAGAGAGGAGACTCACCCAGGAAGCTTTTGCCAAGGCGAGAGAAGAAAGCAGCCTCCTCTCGGCTTGCAGGAAGGGAATTTGGCCAGGGAGGACCTGCGCCCCCTTCACTTCCTGTGCTCTCTAGGAATCCAGCTCTGCTCCTTTTAACCCTTGCAAAGCTGAAAGCACCAAATCCTCCCCTCCCTCTCCCTGGCTGCAGTTTTTCCTGCTTCTGCGCCTGAGCTCTAGGGGCTGCCCCTGCTTCCCTCCCTCTTTCTCCCTCTGTGCCAAGGACTCTGCCCCAAGGAGCCCACATCTAAGCAGACTAACATAACAGCAAGGGAGACGGGGGTGGCCATGGGGGGGGTTTACCTTGGCTCTGCCCCTCCCCCAAAATAGAGGCTCCAGGATCCCAAGGAAAGGCTGGGATGGAGAAGAGGCGAAAGTTGCGCAGTGGCAGGAGGTGTCTTGGGCTCAGAAATGGCTCCATCAAGAAACCCCTTTTAAAAAACCCCTCCAGCTCAGTGAGTGGGGGGAGGATGGAGGGGGCAGCTTCCCAGACAGGAGATCCCCCCCCTCCCAAAAATGATCTCCCCCCCCCCCAAGCGGATTTTGACCCCATTTCCCACCCGAGCGGGGCCGGACCAATCAGAAGCCTCTCCATTGGACAGCTGGCCAATCCCCTTTCAGATTCCCCTGGGCCTGGTCTCCTTCGCCTGGTTTCCTGAGGGAGTTTTCCCCCTGAGTTTCCCTCTTGGCTGCTCCCCCTCCCAGCTTCTCCTTCATTTCTCCTTCATTCTCTTCCTGTTCCTCTTTCCCCCCATTGTTTTGGGGGCAGCTGGATCCACCCCCCCCCCATGGCCAGGCAGCCCTAGGAGAAGCCCACTGAGGTGGCAGAGCCAGGAGATGGCATTTCCCACCCTTTTCCAAAAAAGGCAGGAATGCCATGTTGTTTCTTCTGGAAGCCCCAGCCGCTCCCAGGGACGCCATGGCTTCCCTGTGGGCCTCACGAGTCCCACGCTCTTGGGTTTCTCCTCCCAGCTGAAGGAGGGCGGCACCTTCGGGTTCCAGCGCTCACAGGGCATCCTCAGCCGCATTCCTGCCATGATGGCTTTGCCTCCACAGGGTAGCCTCTCTCCTCGCCATGTTGGCCCAGCGGAGGAGGCCTCTCCATTGGGAGATGCCAGGCAAGATGCCTTGGGGGATCTTCCAGGTTATCGGCCAGAACAGGAGGAGGGAAAGCCCCAAAGAAGAAGAAGAGGGGCTTTATCCCCTCAGAGGGGGAAGGTTCCCTCAGGGGAGTTTGACCCCTGGACCAGCTTCCTTCGTCACCCCAAGAGCCAGAACAAGCAGAAGGGCTCCACCTGCAGGCCTAGGGGAAAGAGGGGCTCTTCCCCAGACAAGGCTGGAGACTCCCCTTCTGGCCCCTCGGGGTCCCAGGAGCCCTTTCTGGATGGCCCTCACTTGCCCCCCAAATGGGCCAAGACATCTGTTCCTCCCCCTCAGGCGGTAGTTCAACAGAAGTTGCCCCCACTCCGCATCCCTACGGGTCTCAGGGGGCCACTGGAGCCCAGTGGGGGCACTCTGGGGAACTGGTTGAACTGGGCTCCTCCTGGTCTAGCCCAAACAAGAAAGGGAGCTCTCAGAAGAGGAAGCCATTGCGGAGAGAACCGAGCTTGGCTGTTCTCTGCTGAAGGTCTCCTGTCGTTCTTCCACGGCTTCCTGGGGGCTGCAATGGCCAGAGGAAGAGACAGCCCCCCCCCAGCCTGAATCCCCTGCAGAGCCTTTGGGAGCAACCAGAGCTCTTCCTCTTGCCATGGCTAAGCCTGCCTTAGTTTCCTTCCCCAAGGCCTTGGAGGTGTAGGGATGATCGCGGGGTCCTGAAGGAGCACACTCCCCACCCACAGGCAGCCACAGTCTGCCTGCACGCGTGACCTTGGGGTGCGGGGCACACACCCCCTCACAGACAAGCCACAGCTGTCTGAATATCGTATCCTCTGTCTAACCTTTTGCGGTCTCAGTAGTCTGCAGTGTCCTGTCTGTAACCTTTGTCTCGGAGACCTTTTGTCTCCTTCGTCTTATACTGTGCAAGGGGAAAATGATGCAGTGGAAACAGGTGCCAAAATAACTTTGTACCACCCCACTATCTCGGGACTGGAAGATGTGTAAAGGTCACAGCCCAAAATGTATCTGCCTGGGTTTGCATGTTTGTGTCAATAAAAGGAGGCTCCACAGGGCTGGCTGGCAGCTTGCATGCAGCTCACCTGTGCGCAGCTCACCTGCATTATCAACTCCTGCCTCATGTCCATCACTTCAGGAGGAACCTTGTGGTGCGGAAGGGGGAACCCCAAATGGCAAACGGGGAAAGGAAAACTATACAGCATCTTTCCAGATGAGTCAACGAATCGCCTCCAAGTTCCAGGGACTGATCCGCCCTGGCTTCCTCCTTGGAGGTCACTTCCGAAGGAGAAGGGGTCCCAGGTCTCCATGGCGGAAACGGGGGAAAGCGTCCCTGAGTCCTGCGTTCGAAGCTGATACTTTCGCCTTTCAGGCTTTGGCCACCTTTTCCGTGGTGTTTATGTGAGCTGTAGAGATGGGATCGCATGCAGACATTCCCTAGTTTAATAAGGATCCTGTGAAAAAGATGGGCTCTGCTTTGGAATAATGCCCCCCCCCAAACAAACTGTAAAATGAACTTAACAGTATGAAAAAAATTATGTTTTAAAATTTATCGCTGATTCATTTTTTGAATGTTTTAAGAGTTGTTTCTATCAATAATTTTAGTATTTCAGTCTCATTATAAATCACTTTCAAATTTATTTTTTCCATTCAGTCATGTGTATGTAGCAGAATTCAAAAAGCGGTTCCTAGACTGGAGGTTACCCACAGAAACCCAAAAGAAAAGGAGGAAGTCTCCAAGTGGAAAGATAGGCTTTTATTGAAATACAAATGTTCCTGCAGAGAACCACATCCCAAAAAGTGTTGCCACAGAAACTCGGGAGCTAAAGATGCTCTTCTGGCAGTGGGACAAAATGTCATGGCTCAAGTCTTGAGGGCAGAAACCGGAAAATACTGGAAAATATTGGTTACTTCCGGAAGGTTCTTTTCTGCTGAGGCAGCTGGATATATTATATTTGCCTTTTGTTGTCTCAAGGTCATCTTGCTGAATTGAAGGGAAAAGGCTGGATATTAAATAATAATAATAAATAATAATAATAAATTTTATTTATATCCCGCCCTCCCCAGCTGAAGCCAGGCTCAGGGCAGCTAACATCAATAAAATAGTACAACATTCTAAAATCATTTCATTATAAAATTAATTCAAATCAAATTGATGGCAACCATTAGGCTAAAGTTCTGTGAAGATTGCCAAAAGAGGGAGTCAGGCTGTGCCCTGACCAAAGGCCTGGTGGAACAGCTCTGTCTTGCAGGCCCTGCGGAAAGATGTCAAGTCCCGCAGGGCCCTAGTCTCTTGTGACAGAGCATTCCACCAAATTGGAGCCACAGCCGAAAAAGCCCTGGCTCTAGCTGAGGCCAGCCTAACCTCTCTGTCGCCTGGGACCTTCAGGATGTTTTTGTTTGAAGACCGTAAGTTCCTCTGTGGGACATACCAGGAGAGGTGGTCCCATAGGTACGAGGGTCCTAGGCCGTATAGGGCTTTAAAGGTTAAAACCAGCACCTTAAACCTGATCCTGTACTCCATTGGGAGCCAGTGCACCTGGTATAGCACCGGGTGAATGTGATCTCGCAGCGAGGACCCCGTAAAGAGTCTCGCTGCGGCATTCTGCACCCACTGGAGTTTCTGGGTCAGTCTCAAGGGCAGCCCCACGTAGAGCAAGTTACAATAATCCAGTCTGAAGGTAACCGTCGCGTGGATCACAGTGGCTAGGTCAGGGCGAGAGAGGTAAGGAGCCAACTGCTTAGCTTGGCGGAGATGGAAAAATGCCGCCTTTGTTATAGCTGCAATCTGCGCCTCCGTGGAAAGGGAGGTGTCGAAGATTACACCCAAACTCTTAACGGACGGTGCTGGCACTAATTGCGCCCCCGCAAGAGATGGGAGTTGCCCCCCCAGTCCCATATCGTCCCGTCCCAGCCAAAGGACCTCTGTCTTCGAAGGATTTAACTTCAACCGGCTCCCACGTAACCATCCAGCCATAGCTTTCAAACATCTGATCAGTGTGTCTGGGGCCGAGTCAGGATGGCCATCCATCAACAGATAGAGTTGGGAGTCATCAGCATACTGATGGCAGCCCAGCCCAAAACTCTGGACAAGCAGGGTGAGGGGGCACATAAAGATGATGAAAAGCATCAGGGAGAGTATCGCACCCTGAGGCACTCCACACACCAAGAAGTGGCGCGATGACAATTCCCCCCCAAGGGCCACCCTCTGTCCCCAACCAGAGAGAAACGCGCGTAGCCATTGAAGGACTGTGCCCTGGATCCCCACATCGGCAAGGTGGTGGTCCAAGAGTTCGTGATCGACCATGTTGAAGGCTGCTGACAGGTCTAGAAGAATCAGCAGCCCTGACCCGCCTCGATCCAGCTGCCTGCAGAGATCATCTGTTAGGGCGACCAGAGCCGTCTCGGTCCCATGACCAGCGTGGAAGCCGGACTGGAATGGATCCAGAGCCGATGTTTCATCCAGAAACCCACCAAGCTGTTCAGCAACCGCTCTCTCAATCACCTTACCCAGGAATAGAAGATTCAAAACCGGGCGATAATTGGATAGATCTAAGGGATCTAATGATGTTTCCTTTAAGAGCGGGCGCACCACTGCCTCCTTCAGTTCCCCTGGGAATGTCCTGGTGCCAAGGGACAAATTGATGATATCCCCTAGGGGGCCTCGCACCTCATCTGGACATGCTCTAATCAGCCAAGACGGGCACGGGTCGAGAGGACAGGTGGTGGGCTTTCCAGCTTGGAGGAGTCTGTCCACATCGGCTGGGGATATCCGGTCAAAGTGGTCCAATACTGGGCCCGAGGACAGTCAAGGGGCCTCCAGTTCCTTTATTGTATCCAAATTGGCAGCGAGGTCACGGTGGAGCAACAGGACCTTCTCCGCAAAAAAGCTCACAAATGCCTCACAGCTGTGTGTCAAATTGTTATTTAAATTTGGCTGTCCGTCCAGGGACATTAAAGGCCTAATTATAATAAATAATTGCGCCGGGCGAGAGCTAGAGGATGCAATGGAAGCTGAGAAGTAAGACTTCTTAGCAGCCTTCACTGCCATCTCGTAGGTTTTCATAAAAACCCTATAAGATGTTCTTGAGGCTCTGTCACAGGCACCCCGCCATACTTGCTCTAGCCGTCTGAGGTCCCGCTTCATTTTCCAGAGCTCCTTGGTAAACCAGGGAGCCCGGTTTCTGCGGGGTCGCAGAGGGCGCTTAGGTGCGATCTCATCGATGGCTGTCAGGAGCTGGGTATTCCAGCCCTCAACAAGCTCAGTCAATGAGTCACCAGGGGGAGCAAGGTCCCGCAAGGCCCCGCAAGGCTTGGCGGAATCTATCAGGGTCCATCAGCCTCTGCGGGCGAGCCCAAATTGGCTCGCCACCTAAGCAGGGTGGGGGTGGAAAGTCAATCCTGGCTTTCAGAGGGTAGTGATCAGACCATGGCACCTTCATTGAAGGAGACATGATCACATCTATACCTACGCCAAAGATCAAATCCAGCGTGTGGCCTGCTTGATGTGTGGGGCCCGAAACAAACTGGGAGAGCCCTAGTGTTGCCATGGAAGACACCAGGTCCAGAGCCTGTGAGGAGGGAGTGGCATCAGCATGGATGTTGAAGTCCCCCAATACCAATAGGTTAGGAAACTCCAAGGCCCAGCTGGCCACCGCTTCCAGTAGGCCTGACAGGGTGGCTGCTGGAGCGCTAGGTGGCCGGTACACCAGACAGACAGCCAAGCTCTCCTCGGAGCCCCACACTAGGCCAACACATTCAATGCCAGGGATCGATGGCGATGGTAGAGCCCTGAAAGGACAATCTTCCCGGGTTAATAATGCCACCCCTCCCCCCCGGCCCACAGTCCGCGACTGGTGGAGGACGGAGAAACCCGGGGGTGCCATCTCTCGTAAGGTAACTGTTTCTCCTTCGTGCACCCAGGTCTCCGTCACACAAGCCAGGTCAACCCCCTGCGAGGTGAAGAAGTCTCGCAGGGTGGCGGTTTTATTGCCTATAGACCTGGCATTGCACAGCACCAGTGACGGAGGTGAGTAATCCTTGCTCACCTTACCCTCGTCCCTCGGGATGGGGCGCAGATTGGAAGGGGTACGAGCATATCTGTATCTCGATCCCCTTCGCCTATGACATTTGCCCCCACCGCCATACCTCCCTCGCCCCTTCACGGTAGAAACCCCAAGCCTCATACTAGCCTCCATTTACAAAATAGTAACGCAAAATAAAACAAAAACAATTATACTAAAATAAAACTAATCCCCACCCCACTCAACATTTATCCCACCCCAAAACAAAACAAAATAAGAATACATAAATAAAAACCACCGTTCACAGTGGTACAACAAAGTAAAAACACTTTCAAAACATTTTAAAATATGTAAAAACAGTTTTGACATTTGCTGCAGCAGCACCAGTGTCCTTAAAGCTGTGATGATGGTGAGTGTGGGCCCCGCCCCCTAGGCCTGGTGGAATTGGCCTGCAGGAGGGAGCGGCCTTCCCCAGCACTCACAATGGCAGCAGCAACAGCTGGGTTTATTCTGGAGCTCAAATTCTGAATAATTGTTGCTACAGATAATTTTCAGAAAGGGAGATGAGAGTTTCCTTTTCATCTATATTTGTATGTTTTATATTAAGATTCCTTTATTTTGAATGAAGGAGGACACACATAGGAGGAGGACAGTTTTCCAGTATTCACGCGTTCCAAGAGACCGGAGACTTTTTTGTTAGGAATCATGACAACGGAAATCAAGAAGTCAAATAGACCATTATTTATGTATGCCACAACTGCTGCCAGGATTCTAATTGCGAAAAGTTGGAAAAGCGAAACCATCCCCTCAAAACTCAAATGGCAAACCAAATTGCTAGCATACTTACAGTTCAGGGCCATGTTCAGAAAGTGGTGGTGGGGGATGAGTGTTCAGACCCCTGGGCTCTCACTTGTCGGGTACCTCAGGGTTCTGTCCTCTCCCCCATGCTTTTCAACATCTACATGCAGCCGCTGGGAGAGATCATCAGGGGGTTTGGGCTGGGTGTTCATCAGTAAGCGGATGATACCCAGCTCTACCTCTCTTTCAAATCGGAAGCAGTGAAGGCGGTGAAGTTCCTGTGTGAGTGCCTGGAGGTGGTTGGAGGATGGATGGCGGCTAACAGATTGAGGTTGAATCCTGAAAAGACAGAAGTACTGTTTTCGGGGGACAGGAGACAGGTGGGTGTGGAGGACTCCCTGATCCTGAATGGGGTAACTGTGCCCCTGAAGGACCAGCTGCGCAGCCTGGGAGTCATTTTGGACTCACAGCTGTCCATGGAGGCGCAGGTCAATTCTGTGTCCAGGGCAGCTGTTTATCAGCTCCATCTGGTACGCAGGATGAGACCCTCCCTGCCCGCAGACTGTCTCGCCAGAGTGGTGCATGCTCTGGTTATCTCTCGCTTGGACTACTGCAATGCGCTCTATGTGGGGCTACCTTTGAAGGTGACCCGGAAACTACAACTAATCCACAGTGCAGCAGCTAGACTGGTGACTGGGAGCGGCTGCCGAGACCATATAACACCGGTCTTGAAAGACCTACACTGGCTCCAAGTACGTTTCTGAGCACAATTCAAAGTGTTGGTGCTGACCTTTAAAGCTCTAAACGGTCTCGGCCCAGGATACCTGAAGGAGCATCTCTACCTCCATCGTTCTGCCCGGACACTGAGGTCCAGCTCCAAGGGCCTTCTGGTGGTTCTCTCACTGCGAGAAGCTAAGTTACAGGGAACCAGGCAGAGGGCCTTCTTGGTAGTGGCACCCGCCCTGTGGAACACCCTCCCACCAGATATCAAAGAGAAAAATACCAAACTTTTAGAAGACATCTGAAGGCAGCCCTGTTTAGGGAAGCTTTTAATGTTTAATAGGTTATTGTATTTTAGTGTTTTGTTGGAAGCCACCCAGAGTGGCTGGGGAAACCCAGCCAGATGGGCGGGGTATAAATAATAAATAATAATAATTATTATTATTATTATTATTAGCAGCAAGGATAACCAGAGCAGTAAGAGGAAATACAATACAAGATGGTAATAAAGAATGGAAAGTAATCAAAGAATATATTAAAGATTACTGTGATAACAAAAGCTTTATGGCAGATAATAATATTTTATTTATATCCTGCCCACCCCAGCCGAAGCCGGGCTCAGAGCAGGTAACAACAGTATATCGAATGAGTCCTTTAATATAAGGAAATATTGGAGAAAACTAGAACCAAAAAGGAGAATGTGAGGTGTGGGGGGGCGAAGATTTAGGAAACTGTAAAAAATTTAAGTTCAAAATAGTACAATGAGTATAGTTGGAAGGCTTTTCTTTATCGTAAATAACATCATTTTCTATTCTTCTACTTTTTCTCTTCTTTCATTTATACTTTTTGTGTATTCATAATCTGTAATGTTTGAATGTAATGTTTTATATTGTATGTATTTTTAAAATTTCGGTATAATAAAGGTTTAAAAATTATCTAAAAAAGGAAGATACCTGTTTCTCGAAGCTACCAGCATGACTTTGACCAAACTGCGGGAGGCAGTGGAAGACAGAGGTGCCTGGTGTGCTCTGGTCCATGGGGTCATGAAGAGTCGGACATGACTAAACGACTAAACAACAACAACAAAAACAGGAAGAGGGGGGAGGGACTTGCAAGGAATGCAGGGAAGGAAGGATCTCTCAGGGTGGGAGACGGGGAAAAGAGGGGGGCACTCAGGGGAGAGCTGGGGGAGCCTGCCTTTCTATGGGTTGATAAATGATATGATACATATTATACAAAGGTTATAAAGGGTATTTTTAGTTATTCTCCCCCTTCTATTTTTTATACACTTGTGTTTTGTAAGGGTTGTTTAATAATTTTTCCTTTTTTCCTTTTTGGTTGTCCCTCAGTGTGAATTCTTTGATGGGAAGTGAGATGGATCCCCTGACTGAAGCTCTTTCCACATTCAAAGCACTGATAGGGTTTCTCCCCTGTATGACTTCTTTGATGGGCAGTGAGACTTTCTTTCCGACTGAAGCTCTTCCCACATTCGAAGCACTGATAGGGTTTCTCCCCTGTATGAATTCTTTGATGGGAAGTGAGATATGCACCTTGACTGAAGCTCTTCCCACATTCGAAGCACTGATAGGATTTCTCTCCTGTATGAATTCTTTGATGCGAAGTGAGACCATCCTTCCGATTGAACCTCATCCCACATTCCAAGCACTGATAGGGTTTCTCCCCTGTATGAATTCTTTGATGGGAAGTGAGATGGGTGCCTTGACTGAAGCTCTTCCCACATTCCAAGCACTGATAGGGTTTCTCCCCTGTATGAATTCTTTGATGGAAAGTGAAAACATCCTTCCGACTGAAGCTTTTTCCACATTCCAAGCACTGATATGGTTTCTCCCCTGTATGAATTCTTTGATGGGAAGTGAGACTATCCTTCAATCGGAAGCTCTTTCCACATTCCAAGCATGGATAGGGATTCTCCCCTGTGTGAATCATTTGGTGGGAAGTGAGCTTTGTCTTCCAGCTGAACCTCTTTCCACACTCCAAGCACTCATATGGTTTCTCCCCTGTATGGAATCTTTCATGGGACACGAGTCCAGCTCTGTGAGTGAAGCTCTTTCCACATTCCATACACTGATATGGTTTCTCCCCTGTATGAATTCTATGATGGGAAGTGAGACTGTCCTTCCGAGTGAAGCTCTTTCCACATTCTCTGCACTGATACAATTTCTCCCTACTCTTTGTTCTTTCGTGTGAAGTGAAGCTATTCCTCCTAATGAAGCTCTTTCTTTGACGGGAGGTGGACGGGGAGCTCTGACGGATTTTCTCTCCACACTCTGAATATTTATATGACTTCTCTGCTATGTGGATTCTGTTCTGGTCCCCCTTGTTCTTCCCTTCCAATTCATCACCATCTGCAATGAAGAGAAAAGCTAATTAGAACCTCAAAAAGAAATGGCGCTCCAGAATATTGAACAAAGTCCCCCCCCACCTCACTGTGAGACTTGAGAGTGCTCTGTTTCAGCCTCAAGCGGACATAAGTCTAACTTAATGTCATTGTTGATGTGTGGCATGTTTGACCCCCCCCCCAGCATTTCCGCACGCCTGCGGGTCACCTGACTCTCTTGAAACCGGTGGGGCCACACTGCCAGCATACTGTGACAGGGGCGCAGATCACACAGAAGCATCAAATCCTGACCCCCCCTCCAGCAATGCACTGCCATGTTAGTGTAAGTCATGCAAACTCTGCATCGCTGTCCTGGACCCAAACCCCACTCAGAGCGAAGGGGACATGGTTCACATCCATTATTGAACCAAGTTAATAAATGCTTGGGATAGAGGAAGAACTGGAGAGAGTTAGGTGTGAGGCCTTACTATAGTTTTCACTGCCTTTGTTGATTGGTATTAACTGACATACTGCTTGGCTTTAATCTGGGATAGATTTTGTTTGGCTCAATCCTGGAATCCACTACATCTCCGAGGTCAGTCAAATGCAGACAGAGCCAAAACAACAGACCTCACAGAAGTTATTTCAACTTCCCTAAAAGCTCTGAAGCCAATATTGAAGAAGGCCTGGGAGGTTCAGACAAGCCTGGTCCTTGTTTAAAAAGGCATAACTAGATGGAGAACATTCAGAGAGGAAAGAGTTGATATCCCTCCATTCAGGGTTCACAATGGGGATGTTAGAATCCCAGACGCTGTTGGTCTCCCTCCAAACAGTGGAGGTTCAGGCAGGCAGGTTCAGGAAGGCAGGTGGAGGAGCCTGAAAAGGTGCTCTCCTTCTCCATCTCCATCTGCCTGTCTGCCTCCCCCCACCCCCAAGCTGAACAAGCTCCAATATCTCTCCGGCTCCATCCATCCACGTCTCTATCTCCACTCTCCTGGAACTCACCAGATCTCTCGGAGGTCCCTGAGAGGGAACGCTCAGAGGTTGCGGGGAGGGATGCGGGAGACAACCTGACCAGGTCAGCCGTCCATCTTCCCCCTTCCATCCTCGCTAGCTTTGCAGGATCCGTCTCTTTCATCCTTCCTAAGGAGTTGAGGAGCCTGGGAGAGAGGAAGAAGCAAAGGGAACCTCAGAGGCCCTGCAGGGATTCTCCTGCCCTAGATATTCTTCTGCCCCTGGAGAAGCACAAATGGGGCAGCCCCTTCCCAACAGAAGCCCTTTCCCTAAACATCTCCAGTGGTTCCAATTTCACCTGTTTGCTCCTCACCCCACTTCCTAAGGCTGGCATGGTCTGCACAGTAGTGACCAGAGAGTAGATCCCATTGAACTCAGTGGGGCTTTTGGACAGAACTTGGTGGCAAAACCAGTGGCGCCCTGTCCCCAATCCTGAAAACTGCAACCCCAGAGCATGGGCAGAAAGTAGACAAGTAGCTATGACATGTGGGTGCCCCCATGCTAGGTGCTTTGAATGGAGAGCCCAGTTCACACTCTTTGAGCTCTCTCACTGCAAGCCAGGCAGATGTTGTGGCCCTATTTGCCTCTGTCAGGGGTTGCCTGGGGACCAAATCTGTATGTGGAAGCAGAGGAGCTGGTGATTCCACATTTCTGAAATATCATGAGACGAATACACCACTCCTCCTTGGATATTGTCTGTGTTTATACACAACCTTCGCAAGTCTCCAGTCTCAAAATGTGGCCCCCACCCTGGCATGGAAGCCATCAAAGTATAGATCTTCCACATGTCCTAAATCTGTAGTGTTCTTAAGAACACCAGGCATGTATACCCTTTATAAACTCCAGAGGTGAGCTTTACACTCCTCTTGTGACAAGATTCCCAAAGGCTGAGGGTAGCTTGAAAGAACTAGCCTCTTTTGAGACTGCACCAATTTCCATTTCTTTTTTATCAAAACCCACAGGCGCTCTGCTAGATTTTTCCAGAAGGTTTTACAAGTACCTATCAGGATGGTTAGAATTTTATTACAGTCAGCCAAAAAGGATTTTATGCGTTCCATGTCCTCTGTTAATAGTACAAGCCACCCAGTGACTGATAATCCCTCCTCATAAGGTTGGGAGGAGTCTTTTATCCTTGTTTAGCATTTCCTGAGGATAGATCTGAAATCTGCTTTCACATTAGTTTGTCTACTTGTTTAGCCTGAATAGGGGAGAGACATGTTTTGTTGCATCTGGGACAGAGGAAGTGGTCCGGTTGTGCTGCTGCAGATGCAGAAGGGCTTTTCTTCTCCCTGTGCTCCTCCCATGTGCAAATGTTCCCGTCTGGCTACGGCCTCTGTTAACAAATCTGACTTATCCCTCAATCTGAAGGGGGTTTCTTTGCATGCCCAGTTTTCCTTGACCCAAAGCTCCCTCCCTAAAAAGGAAGCAGCGCCTGGATCCAAAGGAAGAAGATAAGTCATGTCAGACTAACCTGATCTCGTTTTTTGACAGAATTACAAGCCTGGTAGATGAAGGGAACGCAGTGGATGTAGCCTACCTTGATTTCAGCAAGGCATTCGACAAGGTGCCCCATGATATTCTTGTAAAGAAGCTGGTAAAATGTGGTCTTGACTATGCTACCACTCAGTGGATTTGTAACTGGCTGACCGACCGAACCCAAAGAGTGCTCATCAATGGTTCCTCTTCATCCTGGAGAAGAGTGACTAGTGGGGTGCCACAGGGTTCTGTCTTGGGCCCGGTCTTATTCAACATCTTTATCAACGACTTGGATGATGGACTCAGGGGCATCCTGATCAAATTTGCAGATGACACCAAACTGGGAGGGGTGGCTAACACCCCAGAGGACAGGATCACACTTCAAAACGACCTTGACAGATTAGAGAACTGGGCCAAAACAAACAAGATGAACTTTAACAGGGAGAAATGTAAAGTATTGCACTTGGGCAAAAAAATGAGAGGCACAAATACAAGATGGGTGACACCTGGCTTGAGAGCAGTACATGTGAAAAGGATCTAGGAGTCTTGGTTGACCACAAACTTGACATGAGCCAACAGTGTGACGCGGCAGCTAAAAAGCCAATGCAATTCTGGGCTGCATCAATAGGAGTATGGCATCTAGATCAAGGGAAGTAATAATGCCACTGTATTCTGCTCTGGTCAGACCTCACCTGGAGTACTGTGTCCAGTTCTGGGCACCACAGTTCAAGAAGGACACTGACAAACTGGAACGTGTCCAGAGGAGGGCAAGCAAAATGGTCAGAGGCCTGGAAACGATGCCTTATGAGGAACGGCTAAGGGAGCTGGGCATGTTTAGCCTGGAGAAGAGGAGGTTAAGGGGTGATATGATAGCCATGTTCAAATATATAAAAGGATGTCACATAGAGGAGGGAGAAAGGTTGTTTTCTGCTGCTCCAGAGAAGCGGACACGGAGCAATGGATCCAAACTACAAGAAAGAAGATTCCACCTAAACATTAGGAAGAACTTCCTGACAGTAAGAGCTGTTCGACAGTGGAATTTGCTGCCAAGGAGTGTGGTGGAGTCTCCTTCTTTGGAGGTCTTTAAGCAGAGGCTTGACAGCCATATGTCAGGAGTGCTCTGATGGTGTTTCCTGCTTGGCAGGGGGTTGGACTCGATGGCCCTTGTGGTCTCTTCCAACTCTATGATTCTATGATTCTAAGAGAGCTGCAGACCTCATGCAAACTTGCCCCCTCCCTGGTTTGGCAGAGAGGACAAGGGGGGACCCTCTGCTTCCTGACTTGGAGGTCTCCCCCCACCAGGCATGATCAGAACAGGGACCCCCATATATCCTCCCTGCACCCCTGGGACCCCCTTCTTCCTCGGACACTCTAAGGGGGACAAGAAAGGAAACGCACCAGATTCCAGGAGGGACACCGAGGAGGCTTTTGCAACGGAGAGAGAAGAAAGCAATCTCCTCTCTGCCTGTAGGAAGGGATGTGGGAGGGAGGGAATTTAGCCATGGAGGACCTTGTTGGTTTCTGTTTCTGCCACTGTGCAGTGCTTGGAGTCACAAGACTCTGTTTTGCATACCAGACATTCCAGGCTGCTGGAAAGTCTCACGGAAGAGGATGTGATGTTACTGGTTTCCTGTTCCTTTGTCTTCCAGTTGTCTCTCTGCTCTCACAGAGAGGATGTTTCTTTTCCTGTCTGCGTAGCTAGAAATAAAACTCTTTGCAATGTAGCTCGTATTTCTCGTCCCTTCCACATGCTGCTTTGATACTCTGCTGAATGGGGAACGTGGCTGGAGCCTCCTCGAAGGCTCAGGTTGTTAATAATCGTCGGAGGACTCGGCCGGAGGATGAGCTTTTCCAGCTCGATCGTAGCGGAGATTCCGACAGACCTTGCCTTCTCTTGCCCTCCACTTCTGTCACCAAGCCGTGGTAACTTTGTTGTTTTGAAATCCGGAGAGACAAGTGATATTCCGCATGCTAAAGGACTTTCAATGAGACAAACTTACCACGGTTTGGTGACCTAAATGGTGTCACGAACAGGATGGAGACAGTAACTCAAATATCAGCAGACACTTGTTATTACTCAGTCTTGGATTTGGCAAACTTTTTTTTTTACAATACCTTTGACCAAAGAGAGTAGAACTAGATTTGAGGGAAACAATATACGTTCACCCGATCGCCCCAGGGATTTCACAATGCCCCAGCAATAGCACATTCCTATGTAACAAAGATGTTAGATGATCTGGGGCCTGAAGATAGACCCCATGAAACTTCTTATGTAGATGACATCCTGGTGGTGGCTAAAACAATGGAAGAGATAGAAGAAAGAACCAGGAGAGTGCTGGAATTAATAAGGGACACTGGGTTTAAAGTAAACCTGGGAAAGGCTCAGATTGCAAAACAACAGGTAAAATATTTGGGAATTTGGCTAGAAAGTGGAGGCAGAGTAACTGAAGAAAATACAATAAAAAGCTTATGTAATATAGGTGATCCCAAAAATCTAAAGGAATTAAGGATGTTGCTTGGAGCTTTTGGATTTGTGTGATCCCATGTTCCAGCTTATGCAGAGTTAACTAAACCGATGTACCGGGTTCTGAAAAAGGGAGTGGAATGGAAATGGAATGGGCAATGTAAAAAACAAAAACAAAAAAATTTGAAGAATTAAAATTGTGGGTAAAAAGAAGCATAAAACTTTGGCAGCCTAAAAACGAACTAATGTTTTACATATGTCCTTATTGGACAAATGAGACCGTGGCAGCAGGACTGTATCAAAAAAATGAAGAGAAAAATTTGCAGCCCATAGCTTATGCAAGTAGACTGTTGGAGGACCCTGAAAAGAAATACAATGAGTGCCAAAAAGCAGCAGCCACAGTCATGTGGGCTCTAGATGAGTGGGAGTATTTAATAGGAATATCCCCAGTTACGGTACAAAGTACTCGTGGAGTGCTAAAACACATATTACAAGGAAAAATGCCAGGTGTCAGCTCAACAAAAATAAATCAGTGGACAGTATTCTTGAATCAAAAGGGTGTGGGACATATCCTGATTTGAAGTTAGCAGTAATAAGAGACACAGGGCACCATATGTGCATAGAAGAAAATGTGGACTTGAAAGGAAGAAAAATAGGATTAGATCAGCTAAGCATAAGGTAAGATGTGTTCTTTACTGATGGAGGCTTGTGGTATGAAACAGGAATGAGACAAACAGCTTGGGCATGGTTTAATCCCACACGGCAAAAAGAGAAAATGGGATTAGTAGAAAATTCGTTTGGAGCACAAGAGGCTGAGGTTCAGGCTGTCTTAGAAGTTTTGATGTTCGTAAAAAAACATCAAGAGGGTGAGAGTGACACATATATAGTAATGGGCAGTGAATGAGCCAGTGTGGTGTAGTGGTTAAGAGCAGTGGACTCGTAATCTGGGGAACCGGGTTCGCTTCCCCGCTCCTCCACATGCAGCTGCTGGGTGACCCTGGGCTAGTCACGCTTCTCTGAAGTCTCTCAGCCCCACTCATCTCACAGAGTGTTTGTTGTGGGGGAGGAAGGGAAAGGAGAATGTCAGCCGCTTTGAGACTCCTTACGGTAGTGATAAAGCGGGATATCAAATCCAAACTCTTCTTCTTATATAGAGGAGTAACAGAATATTTGAATTTGGGGGC